ATAGTCAAACTAAAAAAAACATAGCTCAATAAAATTTTAAAAGTTCTACTTTGATATATTTTTTTTGCCAAATATTAACAATAAAAAAACTATTTTTTGGTTGTTTATCTTAAATGATCAACTAAACAATATTCTAAAGTCAAGTTTGTAATAATTATTTTCCAAGCAAGAGATTCGATAAATGCCTATCTCACTTTTAGGACCCGTTGTGAACCACTTTTCTTTGATAATAATAATAATATAAAAAAGAAACCATTAACACTAGATTATTTAAATATATAACATTTCTAGATTTCTTTGAATTTTGAAGTGATATTAACGTGATATATCCGGTATATAAAACACCAGATAAAATTATTATCCTGCCGTATAACGGATACCGAATAATATTGCGGTCCGTATATCTGCCGGATAGTTTATCCAGAACACCCCTAAAAATTATACAAATAACCTAATAATTCTAATATCACATTAAGGAATTACACTATACGAATCAAAAAAAAAGATCAAGGTCAAAAGAACTCAAATATATTATCAATTAAAAAAGGAACTTTTGAAATTTTGTAACTTTGAGAAAAAGCAAAAGTTTTAAAAACTATTAGGTTCCACGGAAAAGTTCCATGATATGATATAAGAGATAATTTCAAAATTTATATGCAAATAATGTTTATAAACAAAATTGTTATTTCTTAGGTCGTATTTGTTTTTTGGTTTTGTTGCATACAAATTTAGAAAAGATATAGGCATAATATTTATTTAACGTTGAACAAAAAGCAAAAAATATTTTTAATATTTGGATGATATATGTTGAGAACATTCATTTCCGATAAAAGAGATCTGGCATAAGTATAATGGTCTTTAAAGTTTAATAATCCTGCTAGGTGCTTCAGCCGATAAAGAGGATCTAATATTTTTTCCAGAACTACCTCATGCAATATTTGCATAGTTTACATTGCATTGAACAAGCAAGTAAAAAAGAGTTATTGCGCTTCTATTAAGAAAACCTCTTTGTATAATAGTTTAAAATTTTTAAAAACTTTGTGGCATAAAGTTTTGGTATGTTTTTTCTTTGTAGGATTTCTATAAATTAAAACACCAAAAAAATGTATAACTTTTAATTGCTTTCTTATTATTGCATTAGACTTAATTCCTGAATCACCTCTCTATTTGCCTTGGATGCTTCCAACTAAATCAATATTATTAAACGCTGTTAGTGAAAAGGACATTTTTTCTATATTTTGTTTGTGTCATCATCACCATTTATTTGTGTCAAGCACCAAATGATGTATTTCGATGCATTTCAATTCAATTTCTAATGGTATTGATTTTTTCAAAATTCATTTATATCAAAAAAACTATAAAGATATTAAGGGGGCACAACCCTATTAAAAAAGTGTAAATTATTGAAAAAATTAATTTTTCAAAAATACACTTATTTTAACTCAAATTTATCGTAGAAACTATTGCTGATTTTTAAATTTTTTCTATCCATGCTGATATTGGTCAAAATTTCATTTATTTAGATGTTCATTATTTAAATTACCCTAGCAACGCGCATAGCAACCGTTTTTAAATGTTGTTTTTCATCTTTTTAAGCCCTTTTTTCAAAGTTGATCTTGGCTTTTTGTTTGTACAAATGGCTTTTTGTTTGTACAACGACGTAATAAGCATAATGGAGTTATTTAACTAATTAAACTACTGATTTGACAGACTGGCCTTGTTAGAATGTTTGTTTATGTTTTACAAAATTGGTTTTTATATATTTTTTTATTTTTCAGTATTATAACAAGGTAGTATGCTTTATAAGATAATTTCTATGCTGTTTTGCTAAGTATATTTATCTATCTATGCTATTTATAAGCTTTCTATCTATTGCTTTGTATATTTATGTAACTAGTATAACTAAAATGAAAACTAGTATAACTAAAATGAAAAATATTTACAAAATGAAAAATATTTACAAATTGAAATGGAATCATCTTGTAAGTTTCGATCTAAAAGACATAAAAGTAGGAAGTTTTATGGCAACCAACTCTCTAAAAATTTTACTGAAAACTCTAAAGTTACAAATAAAGAAAACATAGCAACAACAGTTTCTTATACAAAGTTAAATGGTTCAATGGTTAAAGTTGTTGATAACTGCTGTTCAAAAAACATTACAGGCAACCGAATAGTTGATATGGAATTGTTAGCTGAAACTTTTAAGATTCTTTTGTGCCCAGAGTGTTCACATAATTCAGTAAAGCTTAATCAAAAGCAGAAATTAGGAATTGCTTTCGAGTCTTTCAATGCAACAATATGGAATCGTGTTCCAAAAGATGCATTTGTAAAACTAGTACAGTTGGAAATTGCTGCTTATGATGCAGTTGCTCATTTTAATATTGGAAATTTAGCAACATTAAAAATATATTATAAAATGCAGATGGAGTGAGGCAGCTACACTGAGCTTAGTTGCAAAGAAAGAAATCGTTCACGATTAAAAAATGCAAGTCGAAAAAATGGTGAGAATAGGATGCGTCGCAAGTTTCTGCGTGGAGCTAAAAAGAGTAAGAGAAGTGAAAATAAAAATAATGAGGGTTTGTCATATGGAGCAGGAAGTTTTAAATGTTTATATCAAATTAGTTTTATCATACCTGTTTATATGAACATGGCATTTAACAGGGAAAAGTAAAAAATTTTTACCATTTTACCATTTCAAAAACGGTTTAATTAAAACTTCTCATATTTTGACAGATTGTTTATTATGTACAAGGTTGTGCAATAAACCTCAAAATTATAAGAATATATGTGTTAAAAATAAAATATAACGATTTTTCGGTCATTATGGGGGATAAAAATATCGTTTTTTTTGTATCCTTTAAACAAATAAAGCACGACCCCAAGGAATAAGTAAGTTGTTAAGTTTTTGAGGTTCATTGCATACCTCTAACATCAGGCTAGTTAAATGCCAAATTTTATTCTATGTGACCTTCTGCATTTTGAAATATTTTTGCCACAAAATGGTCAATTTTTAAGTTTTTGCCCCCTAAAAATTGCCCCACAGGGCAACCCCTTCTTTTTTTTTTTTTTTTTTTTTTTTTTTAATCTTAGTTTTATTATGAATTTACTTAATAAATAAAAAAAATTATTTAAATATCAAAATTAAAGATTTTTTTATTTATGGGGTTGTGCCCCCTTAAGTTGGAAATAAAAGAATGTTTATTTCTAGACTGGATATGAAAAGTGTATATTTTGAAAATGTGGTATATCCATTTTTGAGATAATTGACTTTTGCTGCTACACAATGCTGGCTTATATTTTTGGAAAAACTATTGTTGTTTAGTTTATATATTCATCAAGTATATTAGATGACGTCAAAAATTAAATTATAGATAAATAAAAACATAAGTAGATTTTGTTTATAAATTTGCATTTACTTTTAAATTACCGTATATCCAATTAAAGGTTATTAGCAAAATGCGGTATATACATATTATAAAGATATTTTGGAAAGTTTATAAACTTTAAAAGACCTAAATATCTTTTATTAATTATTTTTATTCAATATATTGTATAATTCTGTATACTTAATATTTTTGTAATAATTTTTTACCGATAATGTAAATTTTTCAGTGTCTTTATTATATAAATAAGAAAATAGTATTAAAGAAAACTGTGTGCGTAAAAGTTTCTAAATAGTAAGGGTAAAAAATTAATATAATGATTTCCACTTTTTTTAATGTTTCAAGTTATGGAATCTTATCAGAACTTACTAAATTAAAATGAAATTTATAAATAATGGTTAGTGATTTTTTTTGCAATAGATCATGTCCATGTATATATTCGTCAAAGAATTTTGCTTTCACAGGTAATTTTTTTTAAATTTAATTTTTAACTTTTTTATGCAAAGTAAAGCTGTTTTTGTTCACTTTGCCTTTGATCCGCTAATCCTTTAGAACAAGAGAAGATTTTTTTTTTTTTTATAATAATAATAATAATAATAAGTTTTTGCTGTACACATACAATGTGTGAGTCTAACATCTGTAGATGCTAAAACTTTGACAGCCGTTGCTAAAGATTTTTTTTTTCTATTTTAAATTTTGTATATTTTTAATATAAGTGATTTTACCATATCTTCAATTTTAAATTTTTTAATTTAAAGTTAAAACATTAAGTAAAAACAAATTTTGTATATTTTTAACATAAGTGATTTTACTATATCTTCTATTTTGAATTTTTTAATTTGAAATTAAAGCAATGAGTAAAAACAAATTGTGCACTAGTAAAAGAGCTGTAAAGGTTTCGAAGCTTGCATTAGCTAAAAAATCTTTTAAAAAAAACATTGCTTTTTTAGGAATAATATCAATGTATAACTAAAACCTTTTATCAAGGTATATAAAAAAAATAGTTGACTGTAGATACATTCTGATAACTTATTCATTGGAAATATAAAAAGTTTTTGAACAACAAACATTTAATGAAAATTTTAACTTAATAATAACTTTGATTTTTTTTTTTTTTTAAGAAATGTTATGGTTCGGGATCAATATATATATATATATATATATATATATATATATATATATATATATATATATATATATATATATATATATATATATATATATATATATATATATATATATATATATATATATATATATATATATATATATATATATATATATATATATATATATATGTATATATATATATATATATATATATATATATATATATATATATATATATATATATATATATATATGTATATATATATATATATATATATATATATATATATATATATATATATATATATATATATATATATATATATATATATATATATATATATATATATATATATATATATAGATGATATATAACTGATTGATATACTGATAATATATAGCATCATGTGTACTTTAACTCTTGCTTATTATTGTTTAAGAATTTTATACAATTTAAATTTTTAAAGTATAAAAAAACTTTTAATTTTTAAAAACTTATTTTCTTACCTTAAATTTGCATCCAATATTCAAATACTGACATGGAATAATTGTATTAGCGCAACTATCAGTAATATGGGAAGACATCTACAAAAAATTTCAAAGAAAAAATTTACACCCAAGTGAGTTTATTGTTCCAGTAAAAAAACGACGTTTAAAAAACGCATTAAAGACGTGTTAAAGACACGTCGGGGTTGTTTTACCCCCAGCAGAAATTACATTCAAATATGAGTAGGTATATTTGAACACTGGAGTCGGCAAATAATAGCCAACGAGGACCTTTTCTTGTTAACATATTAGTTAGCAAAACGTTTTTTCTAGGCCTTAAGTGGCAATAAAACAAACCTGTCAAATCCCCTTCCTCTCCATTCCTTATCAAGAACTCTTTGGGAACCTAGCTTGCACACTTAAGTTGGACCAAAGTATGAAAATACACCGCGAACGTTAACTGTTTTCTCCGATGCTAACACAACGTTAATCCAATGTTAGTTTTATTATATTTATATTAATAAAAACCTTACTAACGACGTGATTAAAAACAGTTAAAAAATTAAATTGGTCCAATGTATGTAAAAATTTTGCAAAAGTTGGTTGTTTTTCTGATCTAAACCCAAGGTTGATCCAATCTTTAGGGATCAACGTTAATTCGATTTATATAGATCAACGTTGATCAAATGTGTATAACCACATATTGATCCAATGAGTATAGATTAACATTGATATAATGTCTACAACTCAAAGTTAATTTAATGTGAATGGATTAACGTTGGATTATATACCATAGATCAACGTTGCTCATTATACATTTGAGTCATTTGGGTTGTATGCAGTGGATAAACGTTGTGTTTTCACTGAGAAAAAGCAGGTAAACAAATATATATTTGTATAGTTTAAAAGAAATGTTTTTCTAAATATTTTAATTGATTATGGAATTGAAGTTTGCTATTATATATTTCTTTTTCTAATATAACAAGTATTCAAAACAAAAGGAAAACAAACATGAATAATGCGTTTTTAATCAGATGTGTTAATTACAAAGTGTTAACATTAAATTTATGAGTATAAGCAAATGCTGACTAATCAAACGGATGATATATATGTATACGTATATATAAAAAAAAAAAAATGCGCACAAATACATAATATCAAATATGTATATATATAATTTATATATCAAGTATGCATATATATACTAAAACATTAAACAAATAAATTTATTTCCGAAAGAAGTTAAATATAAGGTTGTGTAAACGTAAAATATAACGTTAAATCTACTTAAAATATAACATTTCGCTAACGTAAAATACAACGTTGTACCAATGTAAAGTACAATGTTGAATCAATGTAAAGTATAATGCAATGTCGACTTAAAATGCAACGTTGGGCCAACGTTATTTTTTAGTTGTTGGCGACGTCGCATTTGAAACCAAAATCATATAAATACAACGTTGGCCGTAAATGTTGGGTTAAACACAACGTTGGCGGTCAATGTTGGGCAGTTGCAATACTGACGAGTTGAGAAAACCTTTTTTTTTTCATACAAATAACATATTTGTTTGTAAAGTAAAAAGGAATTTTTACCTCGCTAAAAAGTGTTTGGTTAAAAAAATACGTAAAATGAATTATCTTTTATGCGTATGCGCTAAATTCTACAGTGCTGTTGTGTAATACAAAAGGGATAATTAGGATGATTACGTGTAAGTTATCAAGTTATCCTTGATGCCAACCAGTCCCACCCTCCCCTATGCCATCATAGGAACAGTAGTTGCCTATGATGGCATACTTGTGTTTTTTTTTTTATATAAAAATAAATAATAAAAAAATTAAACTGATGAAAACCCCTAGAATTATTATTGTTCTACATTTAACAAATAATGTATTTATATCAAATCTTGTGTTCTTTGTCTTCGGGATAATGAATAATAAAGCTTTGTAGTTAATCATGCAATCATAAGCGCCTTTCCCCTATTTGAGAAAACTAAATAAATATAAAACATATTTTATATTTAATATCAATTTTAAACTTAATGTTTTAAAATATGCATTTAAGATTATAAAATATTTTTTAATATTATAATTTGTTGTTAATATTAATTGTGGTTTTTTATTGTAAAATATATTTATAAATACTAATATAGGTATTTTTATAGATTTATAAAAAAAATTTTATGTCGTTGATCATAACATTTGTATTTCTAAATTAGAACATTATAATATTCGTGGTGTTGTAAGTGACTTGTTTTAATCTTATCTTACAGATCGAAAATAACTTGTAAGTATTAATGGTTATAATTCTATTAATAAATCTGTTGTATGCGGTGTTGCTAAAGGTTCTGTTCTTGGTACTCTTTTGTTCATAGTTTATATTGATAAAACAAACTAAATCTATTTGCTTCTCGTCTTTTCATCTACTTGTTGATAACACAAACCTATTGCATATCAACAAATTGTATAATTCTTTATGTAAAAACATAAATTCAGATCTAACAGGCACTTTTCACTGGTTAAATGCTAACCTAATATGTCTTAACGCCAAAAATAACTGAACTAATCTTTTTTTTATCGTCTAGAAAAAAAAACAATCAAAACAACATTTCTCAAGTTTAAATCAAATTTAATAATAAGCGGTTATATCCAACAAAAGTTATCAAACATATATAATGGAAAAATCAGTGTACTATCTTTTAAAACTCAGAGGTATACTGTTGTCTACCAGTGCATTTGCGAATGGAACAAGAGTCTTATATCCTTAGTGAATGAGTTCAAAAAACAACAACTTCAAACACTTTTGTAGTCTCTTCTTAATCTTAAAAAAACTATTTTAAAAGAGTTCTGAGAACTGTTTTGTTCTCAGAATTCTAACATATTAATATAAACTTCACTTAATATTAAAAATATACTCTTATTTTTTTAATTATGATTACTACAACTATTATCATTAACATCGTGTTTGTTAATTTTTTATTAGTATCATCAAAGTATGATTTTTAAATTTTAAATAAGTTTAAGTATATTGTATGTGTTTATGCTTGTTATAAACCATATTTTATTTCAAAACTGGTGTCACTCCTTTGATAAGAAATCTGTTACCCTGACACCCACATCCTTACCAATCATAAAGTAAATATTACCAAATACTTATAGTTAATTTACTCATTATTACATTATTTTATATTATTATCATTTTTATAAATATGAATATATTTTTTTTATTAAACAATTATTTTTACTTACTACAATCAATAGAATTAAAAAAAAAATTTCTATTTTTTTTTGTCGTTATTATCGCATTATATTATTGCTTAACTTAATGCTGTTACTTATTCGTGCGCGTACACGCTGAGTTTTGTTATAAATACGATTTAGCATGCTCTTTCTCTTTATATTTTTGACCAAGCGATGAGGTATTCTAAATCTTTATATTCTGTTAATATCTGCTTTATCAGTATTAATATCGAATACCTTTTAATGATTGACATGCTATTTTTCAATTAGTTTCAAATATGTTTTTTTTAAACTTGTAAACAGGTAATATGTTTAATTCATGCATTTTAATAATAACACATTTTCCTTTGTTAGTTGTATTTAAAGTATATTAATCTGTAATTTAAAAATACATTAATTTATATTAGTATATTATATAACTAATACATAAAATAAAATGTAATTTGAATAATTAATTAATTAATTGTATTTAATAAAAAATTAAAAGACGATGATTACTCTAGAAGAATATGCTCTATTCAAAAGACAAAAATTTATACTCTTTATAAAGTTAGTGTTTATCTCCAAAACCTTTGCATTTCACACAGCCAACTCTATGTTGCATGTTAACGAACAAGATCGTATAAAATATTATTTTGATTTTAAAGGAAATCTGTTTTATTTTATAATATAAAAAACCAGGTTGTATGATCGTTTGTTTTATTAAAATTGTTAAACAAATATTACAAGGTTGTGTTAGTTATGATTCGAATTTATATATTTTTTTCTTATTTATATAATTAATTATATTTATGTGTTTATATGTGTTAAAATTATATGAATTTATGTTTTTTATGTGTGTAAATATCTTTTATATATGAAAAGTTTCTATTTTTGTGATATAATGTTAAGCGTTTATAGTTTGTAACTGATTATTATATTTTTTGCATGGTTTCAAATTGTTGTGATTGGGTATAGTATACAGAAAGAGTGTTTACCTTGCTAGCCAAGTGGTGTACTTTGCTATAATGTGGATTGAATTTTTTGAGAGCAAGAATGTTATCCTTGCCAGTAGAGTAGTGTACGGTCATGATAAAACACAAAGTTAAATCTTTTCGTTAATAGTGTATTTATAATATGTGTTTAAAAAATATTTTTAAATAAATGTGTTTAATAAAATGTTGAAAAGATATACAATTTTATAATATCTATAGTTTTTTTAATATTTATACTTTTGAGTAAATTTTGTTTAAAAGATATATACTCTGTTACTTATTCGTTAACAATTTGTATTTTGTTAAAGTTAAAAAAATTTTGTTTAAAGACTTATACTTTTGTTCTTTTTTGTTATCAATTTATGCTTTTGACAATAAATAAATTTGGTTAAAGAACAGGCTTCCTTTTTACTAAGAGCTCCTCCCCTTTCAATAATTCTTGAATAGGGAGGAGCTTTAACATTTTTGTTTATTTATTTTTGTGTTATTTTTCAATTTTCTCACTAATTTTAATGCTATCAAGTTAAATCATTTAAATAAAGACACTTTTATTATACTTTTATACTACACTTTTATAATACTCAATGACAAAAAATGAAGGCCACGGTCAAATATATGATAAAGTTTATGTTAATCTCAAAGAGCTTGGTTTTTACGCAACCAAAATCCATGTAACACGTTCCAGAACCAAGACATTTGATAAACTGTTGCATAACTTCGATAAATGTGCATTAGACGGTATGTCATTGAATGTATATTACACAAATAATGTTTAATTATTAAAATGTGATGTTTGTAATGGTTTTTGATAAGTATTATAATGTCTCATGATGTGGTAATATATGTTATTTATTGTATGTAAATATTAATTTGTTATATAAAGTTATA